TATTGCGTCTGTGAGATGAAAACAGGCTATTAAGAAAATGAAACTGTTAAGGAACAAAAACACTTTCTTAAATATAAAAAGTATGTGTGCCTAAAACTTAAAAAAATTGTATAAAAGCTAAAGAAGAAGTTGAATTTCCCAAAACATGCATCAAAATGATAGAGAAATAAAAAACTGAAAATGGAGGATCAATCTGGGAGGAGGGGACCAAGAATTGCTTGACTAATAGAAATTCCAGACGAAGAAAAAGAGATAATAAAGAAAGAAATACTCAAAAAAGACATAGGAGAAAATTTCACAGAGCTGATTCGGGTCTTCAGCATAACGGGACCTTTGAAAGCCAGAATAAGTTAATGCCTACATGTGTGAAGATAAGGGTGCTTGAGTTTGTATTCTCTATACACTTCTATTTTCATTTGCTTGAAATAGAAGATATATTTTTCTGAAATTGCTAAGCACCAAAAAAAAACAAAGAGCAGAGAGAAAACAATAGTTCATCTATAATTGAATGAAAATCATAGGACAATCTTGAGCCTCATGTTAGGCAGACTTTTTTTCAGACATGTAAAGACACAGAACGGTGACTGAGATGGTTTGAAAGTGTCCCGCAAAGTTCATGTGTTGGAAACTGAATTCCCAGTGCAACAGTGCTGAGAGGTGGGACCTTTAAAATGGATTAGATGATAAGAATTCTGTCCTCATGAATGAATTAAAGCTTTCATAGAGGGGATGGGTTCATGATTTTGAGAGCAGATTTGTTTTAAGAGTTCAGCCCTCTCTCACTCTCTTGAGCTCTCTTACCGTCTTACCTCCCACCATGGGATGATGCAGCAAGAAGGCCCTGACAAGATACTAGCCCTTTGATCTTGGACTTTCCAGTTTCCAGAACTGTAAGAAATAAATCTCTGTTCCTTATCAGTTACCCCATCTATGGTATTCCATTACAGAAACACAAAACTAAGACAGTAATCCTCCCACACGCTTTTATGTAAAAGTTACTTGAAGATATGCTCTAGCAAAACGAAAAAAGAATCTGAGAGGGAGGACGACATGGGGTCTAGGAGGCAATGGCCAGTCTCAGAGCAGCAATGAAGGGATGTCTTATGTAGACAGCTGTAGAGCAGGCATTGACAGCATTCAGAGAAGACGGGGATAGGAACTCAAGGGGCTCTGAAAGATAGTTCAAGAAGAAATGGGCCAGTAATAAAAGAATAGATATGGCTGCAGCCATAAAAAATAATAAGATTATGTCCTTTGCAGCGACATGGATGGAGCTGGAGGCCATTATCCTTAGCAAACTAAGGCAGGAACAGAAAACCAAATACTGCATATTCTCACTTAGAAGTGGGAGCTAAATGATGAGAACACATGGGCACATAGAGGGGAATGACAGACACTGGGGCCTTTTAGAGGGAGGAGGGTGAGAGGAGGAGAGGACCAGGAAAAACAACTAGCAGGTACTAGGCTTAATGCCTGGGTGATGAAATAATCTGTACAACAAACCTCTGTGACACAACTTTCCCTACATAACATGCACTTGTACCCCTGAACTTAAAGTACAAAACGTATTTTAAATATAAACCATGTATATGCAAATAATAGTACAAAATGGCATTTTAAAGTAATATCTATATGGCCTTAGTTTGGAAAGAGTACAATAATTTTGCCCTCGCTCTGCACTAACGTGGCCTTTGCCACAGTCATGCTTGACATATCCACGTTGCTGACAAAAACCTTGATATGGTTTGGCCCTGTGTCCCACCCAAATCTGATCTCCAATTGTAATCCCCAGGTGACCAGGGTGGGACTTGGTGGGAGGTGACTGGATCATGAGGGCAGTTCCCCCATGCTGTTCTCATGAGAACTGATGGCTCTGAAAGCGTCTGGCAGCCCCATGTGCTCTTTTCTCTGTCTCGCCTGCTGCCATGTAAGATGTGTCTTTGCTTCTCCTTTGCCCTCCCCCATGGCTGTAAGTGCTCTGAGGCCTCCCCAGCCATTTCGAGCTGGGAGTCAATGAGATCTCCTTTCTTTATAAATTACAGAGTCTCAGAATCCTGCTATTCTTTATAGCAGTGAGAAAACAGACTAAGACAAGCCTCAACACCAGCAGTGGCAAGTGTATGTAGGCGTGTGCCAAACTTTACATCTATTTGTTTGGAACAAACTAAAGATACAGTAAAAATACTTTGAAAAAATAGATACAGCAATGACACCAAGGCAAATGTTTGGAAGAAAAAAGAGAATTAGAAATGTGGAGAAAAGCAAATATCTATTCAAAGAAGTCCCGGTCTAAATAAGAAGGAAACTAAAATGTCACATAGTTTTAAATAGTTGATGAATGACAGAAACCTTGATGCCTGTCACATTTTCCTTTGCGTGAGCCAAAGAAGTGACCCAGGGCTACCTTTCCTTCTCTTTGAGTTCAATCCTACTTTGCGGAGCAGCAGTGAACAATCTCCGTGTAATCTCAACAGTGCCAAAGCTGCTGGTTTCTCCATATTTTAGAATCAACACAGAGACCAAGTATGAAAACTGAATGATGATTAAAAAGCAAGATATAAGCAGAACCTCAATAATGATTAAAGAAAGATATGTCCATGTTCACCACGTTAAGTAGCATGTGAAAGGCAGGAAGATGGAACTTGTCAGGAGAGGAAGGAGGAGTATAGAGTGAATTTCCTCATTTTACAAAGTGGGAGTCTGAAGTGGACAACACAAGTAGATGGTTCCACAAACTCTTCACCATCGTAAAGGGGATCAATATAAGAATTAAACAGGGCCGGGCGTGGTGGCTCATGCCGGTAATCCCAGCACTTTGGGAGGCCAAGGCAGGCGGATAACTTGAGATCAGGAGTGTGAGACCAGCCTGGCCAACATGGTGAAACCTCATCTCCACTAAAAATACAAAAAAAATTAGCTGCGCATGGTGGGCATCTATATTCCCAGCTATTTGGGAGGCTGAGGCAGGAGAACTGCTTGAACCTGGGAGGCAGAGGCTGCAGTGAGTTGCCTCCTGGGCAACCGCACTCCTTCCTGGGCAGCAGAGCGAGACTCCATAAAAAAAATATATACATATATTAAATAGGTAACTATCAAATGCAGGAGGAACAGGAGCAGTGGAAGCAGAGTGAGCAATCCACTTGCTTCTATTTCCAAGTGGAGAACTGACGGAACCATCTGCATGTGATCAATCAATAAAGAGTGATAAAACACGGTATGGCAAGGTGTAGAGGCAAATTCCAGGAGACCTAAACACAGAGGCTGTTAAATGCTTTGGGAGGCAGTTAAATGCTGTGGGAGACCTAAACACAGAGGCAGTTAAATAAAATGCATTGTGCAGCAATATGCCACGGATGTTTTGAGAAATGACTTTGCGTTGTTTTTTGTTTTATGTTTTAGAGATGGAATCTCACTCTCACCCAGGCTGGAGTGCAGTGGTGTAACTGCTCACTCTAACCTCAAATTCCTAGGCTCAAGCAATCCTCCTGCCTTAGCCTCCAGAGTAGCTGGGACTATAGGCATGCATTCCCTTGCCTGGCTAATTTTTTAATTTTTTTGTAGAGATGGGGTCTCACTATGTTGACCAGGTTGGTCTTGAACTCCTGGCCTCAAGCAATCCTCCCGTCTTGACCTCCCAAAGTCCTTACAGGTGTGAGGCGTCATGCCTGGCCAAGAAATGTGGTTTTTAAAACCAACATAAACCCTGTAGGTATTCCTACTACCTTTCCTAAGCAACACAGCCCTTTTTGCAAACACAAATTTATCTTGACTACTAATCTATAAAATAGATCAAAGAAGCTGCTTCGATGGAAGGAAGAGTAGGCGGCCTGTAGTCCCTTATCATGCAGACTTATTTGTGTTCACACACACATGCACATGCACACACACACGCTCATCCCCATGTCACCACACACATGCACACACATGTGCACACACACGCACACATGCACACACTCATCCCCATATCACACACACACGCTCATGCCCATGCCACACACACGTGCACACACACATGCACACACTCATCCCCATATCACACACGTGTGCATGTGCACACACACACACGCTTATCTCCATGTCACACACATTAGTACTTATAAACACTCCCCCCACACTGCTCATCGCCAATGACACACAACACCCTCCCAATGGCACACACATACACACATAAACACTATACCACCCAAACCCACACACGTTACTCACCTACACATAATCCTACCATATACAGGCAAACCACATATCACACACACACACAGACACCCTATATACACCCACCTCCATCCCACACAGATTTCTCGAGGTCTCCAGGGTTTCATAGAACATACTTTGAAAAATCAATGCCCTGGATGGAAGCATCGCATTTAATTTTAGTAAGCTATTTTATTTCTTTTTCTTTTTTTTTTTTTTTTGAGACGGAGTTTCGCTCTTGTTACCCAGGCTGGAGTGCAACGGCACAATCTCGGCTCACCGCAACCTCCGCCTCCTGGGTTCAGGCAATTCTCCTGCCTCAGCCTCCTGAGTAGCTGGGATTACAGGCATGTGCCACCAAGCCCAGCTAATTTTTTTTTTGTATTTTTAGTAGAGATGGGTTTTCACCATGTGGACTTGGATGGTCTCGATCTCTTGACCTCGTGATCCACCCACCTCAGCCTCCCAAAGTGCTGGGATTACAGGCTTGAGCCACCGCGCCCAGCCTATTTCTTTTTCTTTAAAAAGGTAAATACCCACTTTTGCCAGCAACGGTAACATATTTGGTAATGAATTTCTACAGGAGTACTGGTCTGACTCTGGAATTTCTGCTAGTAGCTCTTACTTCTTGTTGGTTCTTTGAAGTTAAACAGTAACATCTTCTAATGATCCTAACGGATTACACATCATATCATCAGAAACCCCACATAATTTCCTTAGTTCCTTGTCACAAGGGAGAACATACCAATATGTCACTTGTACAAAGTCATGAAAAATGATATGAATTGAAAAAAAAAAAAAAGTCTCACCGGCCAGTGGGGCCCAAAGACAAAGATCTGGCTTCGTGCTATGTCCACGCGGTTCCAAGCCAGTGCCAAGCTCAGCTGATCTGGAGCAGATACATTTGTTCCTGGAAAGGCAAGAAACAAGAATGATTTTCACTCTATGCCTGGACTGCCAGGGTTTGGCGGGTGCTGGGCAGTGAGCACAGGCATCCCCTGGGCTGCTGGCCTGGAACTAAGCATTGCTGCCTTTACTTTCACCCTGAATGACCACTAAGGCCTCAAACTCAAATCGTTTCCCAGGAGGAGGGTGGAGGCAGCCTCTTCTCATGCCAGCCTCTCATGCGCGGTCTCCTTGGGAGGGACAGAAAAGGAACCCAGTGACTCAGGGACCCTCATCTCCATGAAGGGTGGAACCCTAGGACTGCCAGGCCAGGCTACGGGACACCAAGAAAACCAGCTCCCTCATCCCACAGAGAGATGAGCCCAGTGCTGCATGGCAGCCAGCCTGACAGTGACCCCTCTCCTTTCTGTACTCTCTGTCCCCTCATGGCACCAGGCTAACCAAGAGGCAGGGAGGAAGTATGAAACCCAGAGCCAGACCCCACTGCCCATCAATGCCAGCTTGAAGCCTATCATTAGAGCCAGGACGGGGAAATTGGACAGAGCACTGTGGAATGCAGTGACTGCAAATGAACCCATCCCGTGTTTACACTCTAGGAGCTGAAGCCCTCAGTGAACCAGTTACAAATAGAAATGGTTCTGACCTCAGCCCATGATGGTCCAGGAGCACCCACAACCCTCCGCCCTGCAGAAACCTGCAGCAAGCCTTGCCATTCTGCCGCAGCTTCACGCTGAGACTGCCCAAGTGGCCTGACTCAGGGCCTAGCACCAGCAGACACGGTCCACGGAGGCGGGGAGGGGAAGGATTGCCGGCCAGGCCAACATCCAAGGCGCAGGAGTCACCGTTTCCCAGAGCTCACCTTTCAGCAGGGCAGTTAAAATTGCCATCTCGATGTCCTGCTGGCCCTCAGAACCCATTCTGAATACAGTGACCTGAAAATGTGAAAAGACGGAGGGAAAGCCAAGTTGAAAACAAGAGGGAGAGGGAGACGTGGGGTGTTGTTACAAAATGACTAGAGAGACTGATGCATAATGAAATGATCCTGAGCGCTGAACAGTTTCAAACCATGTGCTGATTTCTTTCTTTCTCTCTCTCTCTCTCTCTCTCCCCGTTTTTTCTTTTTTGACAGTTTCGCTCTTGTTGCCCAGGCTGGAGTGCAATGGCACAATCTTTGCTCACCACAACCTCTGCCTCCTAGGTTCAAGTGATTCTGCTGCCTCAGCCTCCCGACTAGCTGGGATTACAGGCACTGGCCACCAGGCCTGGCTAATTCTTTTGGTATTTTTTAGTAGAGATGGCATTTTGCCATGTGGGCCAGGCTGGTCTCAAACTCCTGACCTCAGGTGATCTGCTTGCCTCAGCTTCCCAAAGTGTTGGGATTATAGGTATGAGCCACCGTGCCTGGCTGATTTCCAGAAGTTACAGTATTGCTCTGGGGTCCCTGCCTGTGTGCTGATTTTATTACTTTCCCCATCCATGCGAGAGGAGAGGAGCTACACTCCAAAATCTCAGTTGCCACAGGAGATGCAAAGTCATATCTAATCAGACAGGAGATATTTGTAGGAGGTATGCGTTTAGAATTTTGAAGAGGCTGTCTTATGTGCACAGCAGTGCCTTTTCCTTATAAATACCACTGAAGAGGGAAGGAGTAGGAAATTATTATCGCATTTGGAAAATAAAATAACATAACTTTGTAAGCACGTCTGACAGGGTGCTCTGTGGCCCTCTCCCCCAGAACTATCAATCTGAGTAATGTTGTGAGCCTCAGAGGATGTTGTGTGATGTCACGTCCCATTTGCTAATGTCTGAAAGCGCCACGGGCCCTCCCCTGAGTGGGCATGTTCGGCTTCTGTCATGTGCACACAGCTGCCAATTTGGTATACATTTGTACTGCCTCTCAGAAAAGGCCAGACTAAAATATGAATAACCCTGTCATGCACACATGGGCAGAATTAGAAAATGAAACATAATTCTCTCCACAGAGCTTGTTTGGAAATAAATTCAAGACACTTACGAGTTCTTTTTTCTTCATGCACTCCATTATAATTGCAAACAGCTGATGCGATTGTGTCTTATTGTAATTAAATGTTTTCTGAATGGTAACTAGAAGCTGCTCCCTGAGGGACTCATTTATTATCCTGTTCAAAGCAAATGCAAGAGAACAAAACAAGGGAAGTTAAATCTATATATGAATAAGTCAGACATCTCTCTGTCTTTGATTTGAGACTTTGCTGTGGGAGATATCCTGACACAGGAGACGAAAAGTGATCCATTGTCAAACACCCTATTCTCATTCGTCCTAGATGCCAGCTTCGTGGCAAATTTTCCAAGGAAAAACGGAATTGGAAGCGAGGGAGAGAGCATTCCATTGGGAATACCCTGCTCCTGAGAGTTCCGCTGGATGCTGACCTCAGAAAATGGGGAGAGGAGACCTAGCAAATCTTTCTGATTTCAACGTGGAATGTCCAAGCAGACCACTTCAGATTTTCTCCTCGGCCCAACAAAGAGGCAGTCACGCACCCGCCCTTCCTCACGCATCGGAAATCCTACCCGCCTTCTTCACAGTACTTGTGCGCAAAGGACAGGATGTCCGAGGCGCGGCCGCTGCCATCGCAAATCACCACGGGGACGGGAGGGTCTTCTCGCAGGTATTCCAAGACGATGGACGCCACGTTAGGGCCCCCCTCCACCACGAGGCCCACGAGGGGCACGCCCTGCCCCAGTCCTGCAACACAAACCACATTCGCCAGTAGCACCTGTGCCCTGTACCGACGGCCCGCTCGTTTAACTCCTGAAGTATGGGGAAGTGTAAAAACATTATGACTTGGGGCATGCTACATCTGGCTAGAAGGAATTCAGGCATGTGATAATAACTTTCTTTTTCTTTCTTTTCTTCTGAAACAGGGTCTCACTCTGTCCCCCAAGCTGGAGTGCAGTGGCACGAACATGGCTCACTGCAGCGTCAACCTCCCCCAGCTCAGGCAATCCTCCCACCTCAGCCTCCTAAGTAGCTGGGACTACAGGCGCACGCCACCACACCTAGCTAATTTTTGTATTTTTGGTAGAGATGAAGTCTCGCCATGTTGCCCAGGCTGGTCTCAAACACCTGGGCTCAAGTGATCCACCTGCCTCGGCCTCCCAAAATGCTAGGATTACAGGTGTGAGCTACTGCGCCCGGCTCGATTTTTATTCTTGCATTCTGTCACATATTGTGGCCTCATGGGGAAAATCAGAACCTCAAAATCGGGAACTTTCTGCCCCAGACATGGTTAAACTCCTGAATAACCCACCCTCCTGATGTTGGGTCTACCTCAAGGTGAGCGCTGAGAAATACTGGAAGATATTCCTTGCTGGAAAAATACCTCCCTGGCTGTTTCAGCCCATGGTCTGAAATTCCCACCCTGACGTCTGTCCCTAAAGAATGAGACAATGAAAGGGGATCTGGACCAGCCAGGGAAATTGCAGTTCAATTCCTGGCCTCTCCTTCATGGCACTGGGCCAATCACCAAATCAACAGAAGCCTTAGACAGACATCTGTAAAAGGTGAACAATTATAGTGCCTCCCTTACCTCCTGCAGGTGTAAGAATATCAAAACGTATGTTTGGCTATCAAATAATTTTGTAAACGTTAAGTAGCACACAAATGCGGTAAGCTGTTCTTGTTGACATTTCTGTCTTCAATGGCAGGAATAAACCACTGATCTTGGAGGCAGCCACATGAACCACTAGTAGCCCATCAGTTAATGACTTGTTCCCAGAGTCCTCTGTCTCTATCAGTTAATAGGACTCTTCAAGAACACAGTGGGCACCGGCTAACTTTTGGTGGCAGAGCGTGCAGGGATGACTCTGGGAGGCAGGAGGTGGTAGGAGGAGTCCAGGAAGTTGGGATTCTGGAGTGAGAAGGAAATGGGAATGGAGGCACATTGGCCTGCTTCCCAATTTTACACCAAACTGGCTGTGACAGATCACACGCTGAGCCTGTTTCACCAGCTGTCCATTAGTTTGTGATGGGAATTAGTTGATCTACATTAACTAAAGGCAAGTAGGAGAAGTGCTGTTGGTCTCAGCTTTGAAGGGCTTCAGATAAAATCTGCTAGCATTGGTTATGAGAAGATCGGAGAACTTCAAATGAGCTATTTCAGGGTTTCTAATTTGCTTCCCCGATGCGTTTCTACAGTCAGGGACTCCTATATATGTTGAATGACTCTGCTGTGTCCTACCAGAGTAATTATGGTTAAGTTCCTTTCAGCAAACATGCAGTGAGGGTCTGCATTGTGCCATGCCCTGACCAAGAGACACTGGAAAATTGAACTAAGACATCCCAGACTCTGCCTTTGAGATTTCCAACCCAAGGAAGGCTTGGTATTTTCAATCTTCAGGAATATGGGGGCCAAATCACCTTCTTTTCTAGAAACAGTGTAGAATAGATTCTTCTTGGCTTAGGCTAGAGTCCTTGAAGCTCCGTGCTGTAGGAAGTGACAACTGAGCACCCCTTTGCTGTCCCTGCCCTGCTCAGAGCCCTAGGCAAAGGATGACAAAGGGAAGCCCACAGGTCACATGGCCAGATGAAGTGGGTGTCACAAAAACTTGTAAGTCCAGAAAAATTAGAGATGTGAGAAGAAAAAAAATCAGTCATCGACCAATTTATTCATCGAGACCTGATTCCTGGAAATCCACAGTTTTTCCTAATAGGCCATCCCCATTCTACCCACTCCGCAGTATCACAGTCCCATACGTGGTGCCTCACAATGACCATTCGCTGGGACTAGATGCTCATCCACAGAAATCTTGCCAGTAATGGGAAAAACAAACTAGGCTTTCAGACTGTTTAACAATTGTCTGATGTTAAGAATTACTGGAGTATAAACACGCTCCCAGATTATACCAGTTACTTTAATTCTAACCAGTTGTTAACCACTGTTTCATCTGGTTGAGGTTGGTTTCTTTCTCTCTAGTTTGACCTCAGCTTCCACCTGATGGTGACAGCTCCCGCTTAGGACCAGCAAGGATGATGCCCCTTCAGGAGCAGAAGGTTCCTGCTGCCCTCTCCAGAGCTGTCCCCATCTAGCCATCTTAAGTCTATATGAGAGGCCCAGAGTTATAGAGATACTTAATGATCACATAACACTTATCACCAGATAGAAGGAATTATACTAAGTCTTTGAAATTTTATTTTTTCCTGTTAAAACATTTTTAAAAATAACAACTAATTATAGGGAAAAAGAACTACTGGGTAACTATGGTGGACAAGACCAACACCATGGCGAGCACCGACGGTTGTTTCTTGTGCTAACTTGTGAACCTGGGGCAAAGCATCCCCACATAGCCCAGTGGAAGTGATTTGGCGGGTGACTAAGTGAGGCATCTAGGTAAGTCATTTTTGACTGACCTAACAAGAATCAAAGTTAATCTTCCCATCCCCTTGGGCAGTCTCCTTCCCAGGCTTGTTTTCTCTGTGACGGCGTCAGCCCCGGAGGAGTGGGCGCCTTCCCCAGCACTTACTTGTGTTGATCTTCTGCAGGGAGATATGCTTTTCCAGCAGCCTTCGCAGCTTCACTTCGGCACCATACTTGCCCAGGGTGCCATTGTCAGCCAGGATGAAGTGGGTGTGGGAGTTGTTGAGCACAGAGAGCTTACTTAGAGGGTTGGACATGGTCTGGTACACTCTTGTTACCTGGTGAAGTGCACAGCGCCAATCAGACCTGCAGGACTTGGACGTTAAGACCAACGAGGGAAGCAAGCACAGTACACACGTGTGCAGAGACCACTGCGCTAAAACCTATTCTCGCCTCTCCACCCTGCCTTTGAAGGTTTTATTTTTGCCACTTGTTACTTTAAAATGGAAAGAAAGTTAATTGTTTTAGATCATGACAATCTAGCAGTTACACTCCTGGCATTTATCACAGAGAAATAAAAACTTATGTTAACCTCAAATTCTGCACAGGAATGCTTATGGTTGCTTTATTTATAACAGCCAAACTGTTCCTCAACAGATCAGTGGTTAAAGAAACTGGCTCATCCATACCATGGGATGCCACTCAGCTACAAAAACAAATGAAGACCGATATACATGGCAACTTGGACGCATGTTCAGAGAACTATGTGGAGTGAAAAAAAGCCAGTCCCCAAAGGTTACGGTACCGTACGATCCCATTTACAGAATCTTCTTGAAATGCGGTGGAGACAGATGAGTGGTTTCCAGGGCTTAAGGAGGAAGACAGGTAGGAAGGAATGAGGTATTTGCATGTGAAAGGGCAACAGGAGACCTTGACCATATCAATGTCAGATTCCGGTTGTGATCTGCATTATGGTTTTGCAAGATGTTACCATTGGAGGAACGGGACAGGGTGCAAGGGAGCTCTCTTATTATTCTTACAACTGCATCGGAATCTACAGTTACCTCAAAATCAGTAATTAATTTTTAAAAATTGCCAACATTTGCAGAGAAAATACTTACATCCTTCCCTACCAGGTCTTCCTTATTCTCCACGATGCCCCATGGAGCAATTCCTATAGCACAAACTCGGCCTCTGGACTTGGAGGAGTGGTCTTTCAAGGCATCCCCCACGTGGCTGATGACACCTGTGAGCAGCCATCAGTCATATTTTAGGCCCTTCTACTTCCCAGCATCCCATCATTCATGAACTTTAGGGACATCTGCCCTGAGTCCCTACATTCCCTACAGATCGGGGGTGAGACATACTCATCTTTATCATTAAAATAAAGTACACTGAAAGTCTGAGCTCACGATAACTAGTAATCTTTCATTAACTCCAAAAACGGTAAAACAAAAACAGAAACCAAAACAGCTGTGCAGGGAGTTCCTTTACAGATGTCTAAGACCTAAGGTTGGAAATATCTGGAGTCTTTCTGGCATTCCTTGGCTGCCTTCAGTGAAAGCTGAGAGCCAGAGTGCTTCCTATGTTCCTTCATGTCTTTGTGCCTCAGTTTCCTCTCCTGTAACAGGAAAAGGATTGACAAGAAGTCTAATGAAGATGATGCTTGTACAGGGCTCAGATCAAAGAATACTGCATGTCGTGGGTGACCCAGAGATGTTGACCATTATGACAATCATTATTATACTTGCTGATCATTTTACTTATTTTTTTTTTAAGAACCATACCAAAGCAAAATCACAAGTCAGGGAATCAAGACTTCACTTTCGTCATAAACGTGATCAGGATGCAATATGTTTCGTTGTCTTTAGTTATTAGAAAGCTCTTTGGGGACCACAATGAGTTCTGGGTGGTACATTTATTATCAGGAGGGAAAAGGCCTGCTCTTACCTGTGCTGACGCCCCCGGTGAAGATCCAGGCCCCCGTGGTCATGGCAGCCTTGATCAGGCCTTTCCCAAAGACTTGCTTCAGCTTGGGCTGCATCTCAAAGTTCTGGAGGCCTCCATGCACAGATATTAAGAGCTTGGGGAGTTCCAGCTGCCAGTCTTTCACCATGAGATGCAGCAGCGAGTCTGGCTTGGTGTCATAGGACACACGGATATACTGTGAAAGAGTGTGTGGCACTCAGCCTCTGTTCTTGGTTTTGCTTCTCATGTCAAAGGGGAGTGAGACTATGGCTCATGTCCAAACAAGAACTGTCTGGTTTGTCTCATCCTCAGGGCCCTGGAGCCCTCTGTGTGAGTCTGTGGCCAAGCGACAGAAGGGAACTTTGGGAAAGACTGTCAGGTTTAGCAAATACAAATACAAGATGCCTGGTACCATGGTCTGAATGTTTGTATCCCCCCAAAATTCATGTGGAAACCTAATTCCCAATGCAATAGTGTTAAGAGGTGGGGTGTCCTAATCAGGTCATGAGCATGGGTCCCTCATGAGTGGGACTAGTGTCCTTATAAAAGAGGACGCAGAGGCTGGGCACAGTGGCTCACGCCTGTAATCCCAGCACTTTGGGAGGCCAAGGCAGGCAGATGACAAGGTCAGGAGTTCAAGACCAGCTTGGCCAACATCCATCTCTACTAAAATCACAAAAATTAGCTGGGCGTCCCAGCTACTCAGGAGGCTGAGGCAGGAGAACTGCTTGAAGCTGGGAGGTAGAGGCTGCAGTGAGCCAAGATAGCGCCACTGCACCCCAGCCTGGGTGACAGAGTAAGACTCCTCAAAAAACAAACAAACGAAAGGACGCAGAGAGCTTGTTCTTTGCTTCTGCCATCTGAGGACACAGCAAGAAGGCGCCATCTGTGAAGCAGAGGGTGGGCGCTCGCCAGACACCAGATCTGCTGGCACCTTGATCTTAGGCCTCCCAGCCTCTAGAACTGTGAGCAATAAATTTGTTGTTTATAAATTATCCAGCCCAAGGTAATTTGTTATAGTAGCCAAACAGACCAAGACACCCAGTTAAATCTGAATTTGAGAGGAACAATGAAGAATGTTTTAGTACAACATTTTTATTAAATGCAATAAATCATGTAATATTTGGGGCACACTTGTACTGACAATTTATCCATCATACGTCTGAAATTCAAATATAACTGGGTGTCCTGTGTTTTATCTGGCAATCCTAACCCTGGAGAAATCCCTTCCAAAGCTGGCTTAGCTAGAACAGTGGCCCAAGAAGTTGGATGAGGATGTTGTTGAGTAAACGGGAAAGGGGAATCACGGGCCCACATCTGAACTTGACCTTCTCTTCAAAGTGAGGAGGTGGTTAACAACACTCAGATGCTGTGTCTCCTACGAACTGCTTCTTTACGTCCGGGCTAACATGTAGGGTGCCATTCCTGAAGACTGTATATTGCGGCATTTGAAACACAACTGAATTTTATTTGAACGATGATGTTGGGCCAGTGAAATAAAATGAAATGGCAAAATGGCTGTGACTGGGCATGTGGGAGTGTAATTCAGAGTGAGCTGGAACAGATCACAGAGCTGAAGCTTCCTGCCTCTGGCAGGGCTCACTGGAAGGGCAGAGGGCACTCCCTGTTTACAGGCAAATGTGAGGGACCTTGGTCTTTCCCGGGCCAGCTGGGTGCAGGCCCAGGGAAGCTGTGGACAGACCTCAGAGGAAAATATTTCCAAAGACTCTCAACCCATCTAAGGGGGCTGCAGGTCCACAGTTATTAGAAAAAGGAATTTGTCTTTCATGACTGAAGATGGAGCAATGGAATATGGTTGCAGGGCTGGGCCAGAGCCTGGTTTGTGGATTCAGAGCTTTGGTATGGATTTACGGGACACTACATGTTCTTTACAGTGGTGTCCAGTTTCCAAGACTCATGGCTAAAAGCCATGTGCACAGACATATCTCTTGGTTTTTCAATGAAATTGTCTAGGAAGATTGAGCCACAGCCATAAAGGAGACCAAGTATCTGCAGTTTGGGGCTGGGACATTGGCCGCCAGTGACAGCTGGGATCCCAGTGGCACCATGTCTGAATGCCTTTCTCACCATGGCTTTATTGGAGTATCCACCACCCTGGAATTCAAGAACTCCATAGGAATCTGTTGGGTAGCTCTGGGTGTGCTTGGCGACAGACCATTTCTCAGGCTGAGCCTCCACCTGCTGGTTTTCCTCTTCATTTTTGCTGGGTGTTGCACTCGGCAGAGGGGGGATATGCTGGTTGGTGAACTGGCCACAGCAACACCTGAAAGCAAAGGCAAAGCAGGGTCTTTCTACAACAATCTTCCCCATTCCCCTTTGTTTGCAAAGATAAACTAACCTCAATGGGAGTCTACTAACACTTTAGTAAGCCAGCTTTATTAGGGAGAGAAATGCCCCTTCTGATGGCCTTTTCCAGATAATTAGTGCATATCTCTGTATATGCCAGTCAATTTTAGACACATTGGATGGTTGCCCTTCTTTCTGAAAATATTTTAACTCTTTTTGATATCTTGAAGTACTGAATATTCCATGACAAAGTATAGACATGCCCTCCAAACACAGAGTTGACCTTCCAGATTTTTCCCTTGTCTTTCAGGTTGGAGTGTAGTGGTACTATCACAGCTCACTGCAGCCTGGATCTCCCCAAGCTCGGGTGACTCTCTCACCTCAGCCTCCCGAGTAGCTGGGACCATAGGCATGTACCACCATGCCCAGCTAGTTTTTGTATTTTTAGTAGAGACAGCATTTTGCTATGTTGCCCAACCTAGTCTTGAACTCCTGGGCTCAAGCAATTTGCCTGCTTTGGCCTTCCAAAGTTCTAAAATTACTTACTTAGGTGTCAGCCAAATTTTTCAGTGTAGTTGAATTCTTCTGTTCCTTAGTAAAACGTTTCTCCACCCAAGTAATGTTAAAAAGTTATTTCAAAAGTGACCAATATGTCTTTCTCTGCCTTGGACAGATGGCCCACTGGGCCGTAACATGCCCCAGCATCAGGCATCTTCTAGTTCTACGGCGTCTCTCCCAAAACCCAGCCCATCTCTCATGCCCTCCCTGTGCTGTGGCTTCTAGTCTTTTCTGAACATGTTCCCTGGCTTTGTGCCAGCTTGCTTTACTAGTGTGCGTAGGATTTCATCTGCTTTTCCGTCATTTGAGGCTGCTACTGTTGTGAGTGGACTGGACCCACCGAAAGCTTGAAAAGTTTGTAAGGAAGAACTGCAATAGCTTGGAGTGATATCTTGGAAGAGATGGAATCCAGGGACGGCATGCAGGGCAGGTCTGTTCCTGGGCCCACCAGAAGTCTGTGGGGGCAGTTGTGCACCCCAGCAAGTGGGGCGGGTGAGCTGGGGGTGGAAGAGCTGGGGATGGAGTCAGCTTGAGGACTAGGACTGTAGTGCTGGCACAGAGAGTTTTCAGGATGGCCCACAAGCCATCGAAATAAGGAGGGACATGTAGGTGCAACAAAGAGGAGACTTTTGTGACCCTTGGCATTGTTTCATAACGGCATGTCTTACCTCTGTGGTAATTACTGGGGTTTAAGAAGGGAGAAGAATCTGCAGGTGGTGTGGGGCAAGGGGCAGCTTGGGGATGTGGAGGGACTGATTGTGTGTGTGAAACAAATTTGAACCAGGTGATCTCAAAGAGTGTGTGCTTCCAGGTCATGATTCTACCTGCAAGGATTTCATATTGGATGAATATATGGATAAATTGTTCCCCCTCCCCTAGACTCAGCCTCACAGCTTTTGCCCTTAGAGGTGAGACATTTTAGCTAAATTAATCTCTGCTTGCATGACTTTACAAGGACTTTGTAGCTTACTACAGATGTATTTTCATATAGGTGAATAAAATGGTTTGACGTTTTGTGTACAAGCCAAATCCTTTAATAAAGTTATAGCTAGTTCATTTAACCACTCACATCTTTCCTGTGATGGAAATTCCTTTTTGTCTAAATACATTATGAAATGCTATTGAAGAAGCCTGGAAAACATCCTGGAAACCTGTTGAAAGCTCTCAGCTCCTTGATCTTGCTAAGACTAAGAGGAATGATTTGGGCCCATCTGGTTATAAGAGTTTGCATTAGGGTAAATGGTGGATAGAAACTATTTCCTGAAGCCCTTCTCAGTCAGTGGAGTAACAGGGAGCCTGAATGACTCCTTGGTTAGTGACTCCCATGGGGAATAGATGCTGGCCACACTCCTGGACTCCTCTTTCTGACTCCTACAAACACTAGAATAGCGGTAGACAAGCATTGGTTTGGAGAATATCGTTAATTACGGCTTCCAATTTACCTGTTAGGGTCTTTCGGGCTAGGAATTACAAAGATGCATTCCCGTTTGCAAAAGGTTTTCTCTATCCAGCATTTCTGACCCTGGAAGAGAGAGAAGTGGATATTAGACCAATATATTCCCAAGCCATCATCAGAGTCCATTCTTATACTTTTATAAAACAGTATGACTGCCCACAACATCTGAATAGTCATCTCCAATAATGGTGGATGTAAGTCTTCCAGGATCTTAGCTCTAGGGCCCTTTAAGAGAAATGGCTTGCAAGTATGTACTTGATGGTTCTCATTCTGCATCTTCATTCATATCCACCTGTTGAAGATATTTTTTGTGCACGGTTCTGTGCTGGGAGCTGGAGGGATTTCCGAGGAGATAAACTGCAGTGTAAGCGATCTTCACCACCTGGAAATGGCATGTTAGGGGCGCAGCTCAGGGAGGACACCTGGAGCAGAGGGAGGGGTGAAGGAAATCCCCTGTGGAGGCCCTGCTGGTGCCGGATGCTCAGCAGTTGCTGCTGGCTTTATCCCACATGGCCTCTTGTTCTCAGTCACCAGGGACACCTCACACAGAGAATGGGTATTGGGAAGTGAACCGGCCTGCATCTGAAGGCCCCCACTGGACCTGCCTCCCAGGGTTTGTGGAGTCAGTTGGTGGAGAGAGTTGGGGAGAGGTAGGTACAGACAGGCTGCGGGGTGGGGGCTTCCAGGTTCCTCGGAAGGACGTGTGGGAGGCAGGGAGAGAGCCAACTCCCTTTGCTGGATCTCCACGAGGCCTGGCTCAGTACATGTTTGTGCTATTTATGGACGCATGGGGTGTGTGTGTGTGTGTGTGTGTGTGTGTGCGCGCACGCTATGTTTGTGCCTGACGGATGTGCGTTATATGAGTGCAGTGTGTTGTGAGGCATGTGTGTGTACGTGATGAGTCTGTGTGTGTCTGTGATGTGTGTGTGGTGTTATGTGTGTGATATGTGTGCAGTGTAGTGTGTGGCCTGTCCATGACTATGATCTGTGTAGTGTGTGGCAGTGTAGTGTGTGGCCTGTCCATGACTATGATCTGTGTAGTGTGTGTGTGTGTGTGTGTGTGTGTGTGTGTGTCTGCGGGGAGCTTACAGGAACTGAAGCGCTTAGCACGTGACAATCCTGAGTCAGATCCTAGAGAAACCATGGTTGGCTGAACCTCGTGTCCTTGGCCACTTTCCCACAACTGCCATGAGGAGTGCCCTGTGTGCCTGTGATCAGGTGGGACTGAGGTGTCTGTGGGGTGAGGCTTGGAGCTGGCCTCCCGGCTGTCCCCATCCACCCAGGCAGCAGTGCTGGTCTGGGAGGTCCCTTGTCTCTCGGGAGATCACCTCTGCAGAGGTCTGCAGTGACAACCTCACGTCCACAGCAAGGTCATGCCGATATCCCATTTGTTACTTCAGGAGAGCCCCAGCGCTAGTCCAAGCTGTGTGGACTAGGGCCTACAAGTACCCCCAAAACTCGGCCCTTTTGGGGAGATCCAAGTCAGTTTGTTACCTGGCCTTTTGAATAATGGGAATGGTATTAATTCGAACCTTCCCCAGAAACCTTCAAAAAGCAACACTGTACACTTTTCTCTGTAAATAATTTAATGACTGCTTAAAAACAATACCACTGGCCTCAGAGGTTGGTGTTTTCGTGCTAATGCAAGGGAGGCAGGCAGTGTGGGCTCGGGGAGAAAGCACAGAGCAGGAGCCTCTGAAGCCCTGCCTACCCTTCTGTTTGTTTGCACTTCTCCGGTGCAAGACAGTGAAGCCCAGCACGTGCTGCCTGGAAAGAAACTGTCTTCCCCCTTTGCATCTCATGCCTTACTTCCCAGAAAAACAGAGAAGTCCTTGTTTTTTTTCTAACACAGGGGTTGCAGTATTTAGACTCTATGCCAACTAAAGACAAGAATTTTAAACAAAGATTGAACTCCCATGAGTAGGGTACTTTTTCTGGAACATAAGATAGCAATTCTGAGGCTGCTTTTTATGTCTTCTAGGACTGAACAAAGAAATCAATATATTGTAGATGACTGGAGCTGGGTTTCTCACTGCTAGAGAAAGGAGTTACAAATATGGAAAGTGGGGACGGTCTCAATGAACCCTGTGGCATTGAACTAAAATTTATCGGTGTGAACTCATGGTTTGCAATATATAGAGCCAGATATAAAAACATATCAACATATGTGTCATCCCTTTCTCTATACACACACACATATATGTAAATATAACTTTTGTATTAATTATCTATTGATTAACATAACAAATTGCCCCAAAACTTAGTGGCTTACAACAACAAACATGTATTATCTTTCAGTTTCTACCAACCAGGAGTTGAACGTGGCTTAGCTGGGTGCTTCTGACTCTGGTCTCTCACAAGGATTTGATGGAGCTATGGGTGGGGGCTGTAGTTTTAAGGGAAGAAATGAGACCCAGAAGGATCCATTTCCAAGCTGACTCCAGTGGTGGTTGGCCCCAGGCCTCCCTTAACTCCTTGTCAGGAGATCCTCTCTCCAGGCAGCTCATGAAGGGGCAGCTGACCTCCCTCTGAGTGAGCAAGTGACAGAGGGCATGCAAAACAGAAGCCGGTTATCTTTATAACACGGTGTCAAAAGTGACTGCCCATGGCTTTTGCTGTAGTCCATTCGTTAGCATGGAGTCACTAAGTCCATCCATCCCACACCCAAGGCGTGGGGGCTACACAAAGCATGCATATCCGCAGGCAGGGGCCTTGGGGCTGTATGCCTACATACATATGCACATACCCATGCATGTCTGTATACTTGCACTCTCATACATTCTCTGCCTCCCTGAACGGGCTTCGCAGTAACACCTCAATAGCAATGAGCATACCTGTGCTCCAATACTGGTTTCTAAATACCATTCTCCACTAAAAGGAATCCAGGGCTGGGGCAGGGAAGTATAAGAGCCTGGAACATCTTATTGTACCAGCAAGTGAGAAACTTTGCTTTTGACATGAGAACATGCCAAAAGAACACAGTAGCCACTTGAAGGGGCCTCCAATGGCTTTCTCTGGGGTTACTTGATCATGAAAATAAATGACTACAATTAAGAATTATAACCCGGCCGGGCACGGTGGCTCAAGCCTGTAATCCCAGCACTTTGGGAGGCCGAGGTGGGTGGATCACAAGGTCGAGAGATCGAGACCAACCTGGTCAACATGGTGAAACCCCGTCTCTACTAAAAATACAAAAAATTAGCTGGGCATGGTGGCGCGTGCCTGTAATCCCAGCTACTCAGGAGGCTGAGGCAGGAGAATTGCCTGAACCCAGGAGGCGGAGGTTGCGGTGAGCCGAGATCACGCCATTGCACTCCAGCCTGGGTAACAAGAGCGAAACTCCGTCTCAAAAAAAAAAAAAAGAAAACAAGAAAAAAGAATTATAACCCTTAGACTTAAAGACCCATGAGTCTACAATGATATATAAACATATGTAAATAAATGAGCAGGGGAGACAGAAAGCTCTCTCTTCCGTGGCAAGTCCCTATTAAATGTGGAAGGAATGATGAATCAGAAAATCACCATTTGACAACCATCAAGAATCTTTGATGAATGCTAAAAGTAGTGGGTAAAAGTTTGAAGAGTAACAATGTATTTACATAATCTCAGAGTATCTCCCATGGATACTTATTAATTGCAAAGGAGAAATTAGTAACTCAACAGTGGAGAATTCTGGGGAGAACCATCTCAAACGAAGTGAGCATCGCCTGTCACGGAACAAATATTCATCACGAGGCTCTGGATGAAATGCACCAAGAGGAACAAAGTACCCAAAGTGCATCATCTGAATCTGATCTGGAGGAAGCATCATCAGACAGCCCGAACAGAGGGGCATCCTACGAAATAACCCATCTGCACTCCTCAAAAACACAAAACCACGAAAGACAAGGAAGGACTGAGGGAAGATTCCAGAGGCTGGAGACAAGATGGGGCACTGTCCCCCCCTAGCCCTAGGTCAGCTTCCAAGCCCTCCCCCCTCCCCCTCGACCCCGCCCCTCACCCGGCCCCGGACCCTTGCTCCCTCTCATGGCCCCGCCCTCTCAACCCTGTCCTCCAGGCCCCACCCCATGCCCCTCTCCAGCCCTGCTCCGTCTCACAGCCTCGCCCATCTCCCGCCCCCTACTCCATCTCACGGCCCCACCCTCTCCGCCAGGCCCCACCTCCAGCCCTGCTCCCTCTCACAGCCCCGCCCATCTCCCGCCCCCTGCTCCATTTCACGGCCCCGCCCCCTCCGCCAGGCCCCACCTCCAGCCCTGCTCCCTCTCACAGCCCCGCCCATCTCCCGCCCCCTGCTCCATTTCACGGCCCCGCCCCCTCCGCCAGGCCCCACCTCCAGCCCTGCTCCCTCTCACGGCCCCGCCCATCTCCCGCCCCCTGCTCCATCTCACGGCCCCGCCCCCTCCGCCAGGCCCCCACCTCCAGCCCTGCTCCCTCTCACGGCCCCGCCCATCTCCCGCCCCCTGCTCCATCTCACGGCCCCGACCCCTCCGCCAGGCCCCACCTCCAGCCCTGCTCCCTCTCACGGCCCCGCCCATCTCCCGCCCCCTGCTCCATCTCACGGCCCCGCCCCCTCCGCCAGGCCCCCACCTCCAGCCCTGCTCCCTCTCACGGCCCCGCCCCCTCCGCCAGGCCCCACCTCCAGCCCTGCTCCCTCTCACGGCCCCGCCCATCTCCCGCCCCCTGCTCCCTCTCACGGCCCCGCCCCTCGTCCTTTCCCGCGCACCTCGGGCAGCCCCTCACCACCCTAGGATAAGAAACTAGCGCTGGGGCCCTGCCCAGAAAACCTGTGCCAGCACAGCGTGGGGAATCAGAGACTAAAGGCCAGGCTCCGAGGCTTAGGCCCCACATCGTGAAAGGGGGAAACGCCGTCTGCCCTTAATGGACTTAATGCCACCGGCGGATGAGGGAGCAGCAACGTGCCCCTTGCTTGCTTTTGTGGCTAAGGCTGTTCCATCACAGGGGGTGTTGAGATGCCTCCTTCACAGCGGGGCCCCCGGGGCCCTTCTTTCTGTGCCAGTGCAGGGCATCTGTGACGCCTCTGGGGCATCGGCCTTGCATTTTGACCC